GGGCGGGGGGGGGGGGCGGGAAGAGGATATCCGGTCGATAAAGTGGGGATGTCTTCTCTGAAAAGGTGATGTCTGAGCCGAAAACTGGATGGAAAGAGGTTGACCATATCGAGAGCTGGGATTATTAGTGGGAATAATGAGCACGTTGTCTCTGAGAAGAGAAAGGAAAAAAACAAACAGAAAGGAAGCCAGAGTAGGCGGAAGTAAGGTGAACAAAGAGAGGAGTGTTATAAAGTGAGGTCGGGGAGGTAGGCAGGTGCCACATCATCAAAACCATTTTTTTTTTTTTTTAATTTTAAGGGTTGAGGGAAAATGAGAGTGACTATTGAAAGGTACAGAGCTTTTTTGGGGGGTGATGAAATGTTCTAAAATTGATTGTGGTAAGGATTGGATAATTCTGAATATACTAAAAGGCACTGAATTGTACTCTGTAAATGGGTGAATTGTATTGTATGTGAATTATATTTTAATGAAGCTGTTAGAAAAAAAAAGCCACATGTGGCTAGCGTCTACTATACTGTATAGAACTTCCCTATATCCTCTTTCTGGTTTATCAACAATTTTAACAACCACTCACATCTCCAGCAAGACATTTCAGCTAATAAATGAAAAGGGGTCAAAAGGTGCAAAGTTCCAGTTATAAAATGAGTAAGTCATGGGGATGTAATGTACAGTATGGGGACTGTAGTTAAAATACTGTACTGCATATTTGAAAGTCGCTAGGAGAGTAGATTTTAAAAGTTCTCATCACAAGAAAAAATATTTGTAATTTTGTATGGTGACAGATATTAAGTAGACTTATTGTGGTGATCATTTTGTGATATATACAATATTGGTATCATTTTCAAAAACACCTCAACTAAGCCCCAGATTTATAATATGCAACTGCTACAGGATATTGACATCTAGGCTTCTAACAAAAATCTCAAAAAAACGTCCGTCTGGGACCAAAGACTTTGCCAAACCTGTTTTCCCTCCTGTCTTCCCTTCTTAAGATGATGTAACCATCCACCCAGGCATCCAGCTGAAATCTAGCAATAAAACTAGACATACCTGCTTCCAGCATCTTATCTCCACCCCCTCCTGCAGCATCTTATCAGTTACCATCAATTCTACCTCCCGGATATGCCTGAAACTTGTTCTCTATTCTCAATTCTCATTTCCACTGCCTTCGTTTGGGCCTTTATCTTCTCTCATATGGACTTAACACCTTAACTGACCTTCCTACCATCAGTTCTGCCAACGCCAGTCCACCTGCTCTGCTACTGTCAAAGGATCCTTATAAGATGCAATCCTCATCGTATCTCTCATTGCTACTTAAAAATCTTTGCTGACTTCCTATCATAGGATAAAATCTTGGTCCTCATCATGATATGTAGAACTCTCCATAATTTAGGCTCTGCCTACCTTCCAGCCTTTTAATCTCGAATTGCCAAAGTATTTTACATTCTGGCCATAATGAACTAGTCAAAGTTTTACAAATACACACAGCTTCCAAATATATGCAGCTTCCAAATACACCCATGTTTTAGCTCATGTTCTCCTCTGACTTCTTTTTTCCAACCCCTAGATGGGTTATCTCTTACTGGAAGCTTTCCTTTACTATTCTCTCCTCCCTCCCCCATTCACCATGGATAATCATTTTCCATCTTCTTAGCTACCTTTGTACTTTGTGCAAACATTTATTATTTTTACTCTCATTTCCAAAATGTTTTTAGAATGAACGTATTTTTTCTATAGCTGCATGTATCCCCCTGTATAGTAATTTTTATTTATCTGTCTTTTTCACCTATAAGACTAGGCTCCTGAGGGCAGGGACTTTGTCTTTCATCTCCATATATTCTGTTCATGTACAAAATAAGGGTTAGTATGTTGTCTGAATCTCAGTAGATGCTGAAAATACCTATGCTTGATTTTTTTAAAAAAAAATCCTGTTAACCTCACAAGCAATTTTTCTTAACTGGATAATGAGTATCTATAAGAAACCAGCAACAAACACTATTCTTTTTTTTTTAATTTATTTATATTTATTTATATTTATTTATTTATTTATTTTGTGGTACGCAGGCCTCTCACTGTTGTGGCCTCTCCCGTTGCGGAGCACAGGCTCTGGACATGCAGGTTCAGCGGCCATGGCTCACGGGCCCAGCCGCTCCGCGGCATGTGGGATCCTCCCGGACCGGGGCACGAACCCATGTCCCCTGCATCAGCAGGCGGACTCTCAACCACTGCGCCACCAGGGAAGCCCTCAAACACTATTCTTGATAGTGAAATAGTGACATTCTCACTAAAGTCAGCAAGCAAATATGCTTTTCTTCAACATTACCACTGCTCCTATTCAGTGTTAATCTGGAAGTCCTAAACAATGAAAGAGATAAGCCTTCAGAGATACAAATGTTGCATAGAAAGAAAAAAAAAATCTATCTAGAAAACTCAGCATAACTAAAAAAAAACTCTTGGAACAAATAAAAGCATTTAACAAATAGTGACATTAAGATCTAAGACACTTACTGCTGTGTCTCGCTTTCCTGAATGCAGGTTTCTTTTTGTGTACCGCAGCTCTACACTGTTTTTGTTGTTCTTATTGATGACATCCCTTTCCTTGACGATTCCATGCTTCTCAAAATCAGTGATCTGAGGATGTAATGCTCAGCATGGTGACTATAATCTGGGACTGGGAAGAATAATAAAACTGGAAAACTCTAAATAACTGGAATAGGTATCATTACTCCCTAGCACTAATCTCACCAGTAAACAGTCCCACTCTCTTCTGAACTCTTTCCTTTTTTTTTTTGTTTTTAAGATGTTGGGGGTCGGAGTTTATTAATTAATTAATTTATTTTTGCTGTCTTGGGTCTTCGTTTCTGTGCAAGGGCTTTCTCTAGTTGTGGCAAGCGGGGGCCACTCTTCATCACGGTGCGCAGGCCTCTCACTATTGCGGCCTCTCTTGTTGTGGAGCGAAGGCTCCAGATGAGCAGGCTCAGTAGTTGTGGCTCACAGGCCTAGTTGCTCCGTGGCATGTGGGATCCTCCCAGACCAGGGCTCGAACCCGTGTTCCCTGCATTAGCAGGCAGATTCTCAATCACTGCGCCACCAGGGAAGCCCTCTTCTGAACTCTTAAAGCATCTCTGGACTCAACCAGTCATTGGGCCCCTGGAATGTTCTGCTTTGTATTGCAGTCTTTTTAGAACCCTCTGTTCTGTTT